AATTTCACATAGCCTTGCTTTCCCAAAAGTTGTTCTCATCCAGGCACTAATGGACTGCAGTTTCGACCTCACATCGGTCTTATCAACACCCCCAGCAGGATTCGAACCACGACCTTAGACGAAATAGGTTGAATGCATCTCATACGGATTTAATGGTAGTCTCGAAACTCTACTCGAATACGAAAATAGGTAACGTAGTCGATTTCTATAGCAAACATACGTTTGCTTTATCGGCACTCCCTCCAAAGAATATGATGTAGCAAAGAGGCCTGACCTTCCTTGAAATTTACTCATGCCCTGTGACTCAAAGGTATTTGTAGCAGTGTAGCCGAGTGGTTAGTGTGTCAAGCTCCCAACCGGCACTGTCCCGGTTCGACTCCCGCTGAGGGTGTTGATAAGACCGATGCGAGATCGAAACTGCAGTTCACTTCTGTCTGGATGAGAACAACTTTTGAGAAAGCACGGCTATGTGAAATTCAATGGAAACGTCAACTCAACTCATATCATTTTGGGAAAATTTAACTACAAGTCACTTGGGTAAATACCTTGTCTTTCTTAATATGAAAATCTTTCATCTCTTTCCTCGTTCTTCCTTTCTCATTTCGATGGTCCGCATTAATTTGTTCTCTTGTTTCCATTTTTATCTTTGTGTCTTGTTTGACTCCATCGTTTTGTCTTATTCCTCTCTTCTTTTCTTTTTAGTCACCTCGAAATTTGCCTCCCCCAAGGCCTATGATCTTTTTACTTCGCGTCTCCTCGTATTTCTTATATTTGCTTCCATATGCTTTCCCTACTCTCCTCTGTAGACCTCTCCTCCTCCGTCTGCCTCCTCCTGACCAGTCAGCGCGGCAGCAGATGTACCGCTTGCCTAAGCCGCTTAGACCAGCTCGGAATCGGTTTCGTCTGCCCGGGTTGCTACAGCGCCGCCTTCTGTGCCCCACCGACCCCTTGTTTCCACCGGAGACGTCGCCATTCAACCTTTGCTCACTGCCCGGCCAGTCGACAGCCCGACTCTGGCGATGTCCTGTCTGCAGCCGGCCAAGACGGCCTGCCGCAGTGGCACTTAGCGGAATGCAAGTCAGTCTAGGCCGGTAGGCGACTTCGAGAATGCTATAATTGCGGGTATAAGCGCCATCCCTCTTTTCTTTCTCTTCATTTTGCAACTTCTCATTATTGAGGACCAAGGCGGCAGTTTGGTTGGCGCTGAGTTCCGGACCATTTCCAGTCCACCACTTTATCAACTCTTCAGTTCTGCTACGGCCGCTGAAGCCGAGCTTATTTCTCTTCACAGAAGTGGACAGTCGAGCTGGTTTAAAAATCACTAAACCACTAAAACTAGGCTAGCCTATTAACCATTCTTTTTGCACTTAAAGACAGCTCTTCTCCTCACATACTGAATGG